GAGCGCACCTCGCGGGATTTTCAATTAACGCAGACATTTCAAACCGTCACAGTATCTGAACGGAGCACAGCACGAACCTCTCACTAGCACGGCTAGATGCAGACTGAGCTGCGCAACGCTCTGACCCCAAGATGGCCGCGCTAGCCCCGCCCCTAGCGGACACAGACGGAAACGTAATCTACTTCCTGGATGGCCCTCGTATATGCTGCCCATGCTGAGAAAACTCGAACTGTAGTGTGTTTCACTACTGTTGAAAAAGTTTCATCATAGTCACTGCCGTATTTTGGAGTAAATACTTTGGCTACTAATCGTGCTTTGTATATTATCTTTTTACCAGTTTCACCATTATTTGGTCTTACACACCCATTGCTGCCTACTGCATGTTTTCCTGGTGGTAAATCTGTAATTTGATAGGTTTTGTTTTCTTTTAGAGAGTTTATTTCTTCTTGCATTGACTTGATCCAAGCTTCTTGTTCACGTTTTTGGTAAGCTTAGAATTTCTTCAAAGCTTTCGGGATCTTTATGTTGATTCTTCGTCTTCTGCTTTGTAGGAGAATCTTCCGGTGGAACCCCTTTCGTTGATCTGCTAGAAACCCTTCTTTCTACAGTTTCTTCACATTTAATAAACTCTTCAGATCATTTTGAATCTTCTGTAAAATCATCGCCAAGAGACGTTTCCTCATTATTTTCTTCATCATTTTGAGAGTTTTCGAAATGAATTAATTCCGAATATTCAGCATTATTTTCTACATGTTTGTCAGATATAGGCGAGTTTTCTGAAAATTTAATTGAATTGGGAAATTGATTGGGAAAAGAAATTAAAGGATTCTGCTTTAGTAGGTACCGAAATTGTTAATGTTTTTATACTTTTGATTAAATTTTCCATATTTTGATTTGAAGTGTCCGTCTCAGCATTTGCATTTTGTAGCAAATCTGTCCTAGTGCTATCTAAAGCTAATTCCGCCTCTACCTGAGAGAGGTTTTTTTTCTCTAATCTAATTTCGTTTTCTGTTTTTTGTTTTTTTGTTGTTTGATTTTTTTTTTCTGATTGTTGTTATCTTAATTTTGTTTCTCACTTTGTATTTTCTTTTCCTCTAGAATATTATCAATAACATTCTGCCCAAAATCAGCATCACTTGCATAAATTTCAGAACTTTCTATTAAATTTTTCAAAGCATCTATTTTCGCCCCACTCAGAATTATGAATCCTAACACCTCTGCCACTAGCATCAACTCGTCTTTTTTTAACGACTTCAGCGACTTCAGGCTCATCTTAATTCAAAGAAGAATACAACAACCTCGAATTGACAATTAGAACAAAATGAGCACAAAAATAAAAGAACACACTCAACTCAAATTCAACCAAACTTCAACTCAAATTATCAAGTAAGAACACCTCAATACACAACACTAATAAACAGGATTTAACACTAAACATTTTTTCAACAAACCAAAATAATTACTCACCACAATCTAAACAATGGAACCATCATCTTCACTTTCGATTTTCGCACACCACATATCCCCAAATCACCACAAATTTTTTTATTACACAAAATTTGACGATACATATGATTACCACCATATTCTCACCTTACCCCAAAATCAATTCCACTACCATTTTTTTACTTGAGGAAAACATACAAATAAATTTTTACAAATTTGAATGGACTTTTTCCAGAGGGTTTGTTGTGAAATAAGAAATAAAAATTAAAAAAAAAAAACCTTTCTTGAGAGAGAAACACAAGCATCTACATTAAAATTCTCTTACGATCCCATGTTTCTGAGTTGAATTACATCCCAGACTGCAATATCAAATTACTGCATGCTTCAAATATAATAAATTGTTCGAATCCCAGCAGAGTCAATTATTGCAAAGTGCAATAATGACTTTGCCATTTACATAACTAACTTCCAGCAGTACTTTCTGACCTTCCAATTCTACTTTCATTTTAATATTAATTACATTAAGGCTTTGCCCTTTTAGTCTTCCCCTTGATTAAATAATTTTTACTTTTCCCCCCCATCTATTTATTTATTTATTTATTTTTTTAATGTGCTTAAGATCATGTTCTGAAAATTTTATTTGGATCTGATGAAAGATGTCATTCATGTATCTGATTTTTTTTCAGAAGCTATGACATTTTATGGGATAGTTCTGTTGCACAGCATTTCAATTTATATTTTTGGAGTTTATATGTAGGTGGTGATAACTAATCATCTAAGGTTTTGTAACATTCAATATTCTAAATACATTCAAAGTCATAAATTTATTTTTGTATTATACACATTTAAAAAAATTATAAAACAAATTTTATCTACATTCCAACTAAAAACAAATTAATTTATTTTTTTAACAAATTATTACAATACAGACAATAAAGAATACTTTCAGGTACTTTGAAAAATGGTCTTTGTATAAAAATATATATTTTATTAATATAATGACTAGACAGAATTTTATTGCTGATAAAATGTTCTGTAATGTGGAACAGGCTCTCTCATCAAAGGCTGTTGAAGACTTTGAAAATCACTACTAAACGACTGTCTTGAACTGCTTGTTGCTTGTGGTACACAGCACGCATCTCTGTAACACAGGCAATTCTGATTAGGTGACAATTTTCTGCATTGAATTGCAATAGCCAAAAAGGATAAAATGATCCAAGCTGAACTCATAATTATATCTATATTAAAAAGTGAATATAATTCTATTAAAGAAGAATTCATAAGGAAAGCAACAATTCTAAATTATTTTACAAGACAGTTATCATTAAAAAAAAGCTAATATACTTTTTATACACATAGATACTGTAATAAAAATGTTTCTTCTGAAATACCAACTTGGTTGTAAATGAATTCGTATTCAATTTACAACTTGAACATCCAAAATTAACCAATTGTTTAATAACCCGATAAAGCACATACACAGTGAAACTACATGCTTTTGCTATTTTTCAACTTAAGAATCAAGACTGCAAAGACACTTTTTCCATTTTAGCACCAATTTTATTACATCTTGTTCATCAAAATCTCTTTTCTGGCTTTAGTCACCCAGAAGTGACTTCTGCAGTCAAACTGAAGTACTAGGTCATCTTAGAAAGATTTCTGGACACTGAACACCTGAAGATAATTTATTTATCTGAATTTCAAGTGGATTTTTCTATCAGATAACAGAAAATAGAATACAGATCATTGTTCTTCTTGCATATAACATTAACAAAACTGATACTTTTCAATCCTTATTCATGTGTCCAATCTATACTGGCATGGGTTTTGATGGAAAAAGTATAATAAACTAGGACAAACCTGAAAGATATGTCTCAGAAGCCTCAGTTCCTATGTTGAAAAATAGCTAAGTCATGAAGAATAACATGCATTTTACTTTACTAAATTTGCCAAAAAGAACATTGCTTGACGATTACTAAGAACAGAAATATTTTTTTGAAATTAATGATGGACTTTTTTCAACCAGGGATAAGCTCTGGCCACAGTAATAAACCTGACTGTCTGGTAATGCTGAGTTATAAAAAGGTAAATAATTTTTCTTTTAGATTTACTACTTTTTGTGTTTTATGTTTAAAACAATTTTGCCTTATGACAACTTGGACATTATAATAATCTTTTTTTTCAAACAATTCTATCTTTTGTCTGCATGTGTTGTAATCATCTCAAATTCACATTTTAATGAAATTTGAACTGTGCATATTATTCATAATAAAGTCTGAAATTCATAAGTCTGAAATCCGGACGTCCATTATCTGGAATGATCTAAAATCCAGGCCTCAAAACTACCAACAAAGTTTTTCTCCTGGGTTTTACGCATGCACATTTGATTCTTTCCTCCATGCATAATAAAACATCTGGAGAGTACCAATTCTTAATATCTCTTCAACACAAAATAAAATACCTTGTTATTGAAGAAACAAACATTTTAGCATAAATATGTATGATCAGTAATTTGGACCTGTTGCTGCGTATCTGCTTTTCGGCACACATCTCAAACCAAAACATTCCACATAGATACATCGTTGATCTGACAAGAACCCAGCAAGTCATTATTTATTATACTTTCACCGCATGTTTATCAAAACATGACAACCTGAGTAATGACTCATGTAGGATGCCTAAACAATTTTTTTATGTTAGTAATTGAATAATAAAGGAGTATGGTAACATTATGCTAGGATGATTACAGATTTAAGTTAAATGCGCTAAAAAATCTTGACGAGGAAAAATTTACCAAAAATTTCTTTCCATATGCTAAAAATAGATTTTGTTGATGATACTCATAGACACAAAGTTTACATTTAGGGCTATTAAGAATAACTGATTTGTTATTCACATAAACCCAGAACAAGTGCCACGGCTCGTATGGCCGCACGGACAAGGAATATGTATTGTTAAGAAGGTATACTTATCCACAACAAGAGTGGCTCTGTTCCAATGTAGAGGGAAACAGCTGCACACATGCGAAATATCTGTCGCTAAAGAGCAAAAGCTTGAAGTTTGAAGGTTACGTTATCAAGAGATCATAAAATGAATACTGTTTAAAATTTCTTTTCAATTTAAAGAAAAAGAAAAAAAGTTTTTCGTGCAAGTAAATTAATTAATGTATTAGTTATTTTGAGCAGGAAAAAAAAAAAAAGTAGTACGAAAATCCAAGTTAAAATTATTGCGAAAAGTCAAAGAAACAGTTTGCTAAAGACGTTTCTTCTTAACACGTGTTCCTCAATTTCCTCTACACGTCGCAGAGAGGGAAATTATCGATGCCAGTTTCCGTCACCGTACTAGAACAGTAAGTGATTCCATCGCCGTTGCCGTCCCTTGGCGAATTTTTCCTCCGCTTTCTGGCGGCATAATAGCAAACTGGTTTACATTACATCTATGGAACCTTTCCTTCATTACATAGACGTTCTTTGACATGGTGTCACTGAATTAAGGACCCACAGAGACTTCCCACTGGGGTTTATCTCAGCTAATGTATAAACTTTATTTATATCTCTCATCTTTCTTCTAACAGTTAATTAAATTATTGAAGAACACAAAAATAGCATTCTGCAATTATCATTAATAAATTCTTAACACTTAATACTATAGCATTTAATATAAACAGTTAAAATTAGCTCATTTACATGGCAATGGTATTATTCCGCAATTTTCTAACCGGTCTATAATTTTGGTTGGTTATATAAAAATCATACTGGAACTTTCAAGAAAATTCTCTGTTCTGAGAGTTTTTAGGCTATATTTATGTGAATGGTGTAAATGAATAAATAGGAATTATTCTCTAAAATTGCAAAAGCTAATAAAATTTTTTACTTATATAAAATATTAAATATACACACATATATATAGACATGGAATTATGTATATATATATAAATACAGTTCAATTTTGAAAGAAATGTTTTTGAAATTTATTTATAATTTATCTTCAACTTTTTCTTGTTCAGATTGTATTTCTTTCCTTCTAAAACGAAGTACACATAACCGTACAGCACAGCCTGAAGCCTGCAATAAAGGTTTTGACAATCAGATAAACATGACACATAATAAAATTTTCAATATTTCTATTAAAATTGTAAGTATATTTGTAGACATTCCACTTCGTGAAAGTAGTTTTTAGTCTATTCATATGAGCATTATTACTCTACGGTTAAAGTTAATACTAATCTGACTAATGTTTGGTTAATTTATATTAAAATGAGTTTAATGTTGCTTTGGTTAATATAAATATAATGTCAGTGTGTAAAGATCTGTCTTATTTCAATATTACTTTATATATAGTACTTTTGATAACTTATATATAGTACTTTTGATAACTTATGTCTATTCTTATTTACCGCGGAGCTGAGAAATGACGTCAAGGAGATCTTTTATATGAGAAAGCAGCCATAACTAACGAACGACACAGAGATATACCAAGCTGACGATTTACGTTTCTCGTGAGAGTGTTCTGTAGACTTGCCTCTTTGCCATGGATGTCCTTCGATGTCTTCTAAGTTTCCCCGAGGAGTCTATGGCGTTTTTTGTCATATGTTTCCTATTTGGGAATGTATACGGTTCCCATGCCAAGTTGACCAAGACAAAGAACTTCCAGTAAGTTCCTTAGAAATTCTTTGCCAAGATTGTCGCGATGTCGCGGTTTCGTCCCGAACAAAAACTAATTATTTTCGGCCTCCTTTCCACGTGTCTTCGTGGTGGACAGCACGCCCGGCTAGCACTGGGAAGTATGGTGTTCGAATCCATGCGAGGGCATTGCGGATTTCTTCGCTTCGAAAAATTCAAAAAAGATTCTACAAGTGGCATCCGAACTAAAAAGAGGTGGACAATAATTCGTCACCTCCAGGGTTTGGCAACTGGATCCCCTCTTCCCCAGTCGCCCTTTAAAAGGCGGGCATATAAGGTATTTCATCTTTCTTTCCGCGTGCCTTCGTGGTGTAACTGAGCGTTTCCCGTGTCAGAAATTCTATAGATGTATCTACAAGTGGCGTCCGAACTAAAGGGTGTCGGACGATAATTCGTCACCACCAGGATTTGGCAATTGGATTCCCTCATGCCGAGGCGTTTTTTAAAGAGGGGGAGTATACAAGTTATTTTCTTCTTCTCCTTTTCGCGTGCCTTTGTGTTGTAACTGGATCGTCCGTCCTGCTAGCATAGAGAGATCCGGTGATCGAATCCCGGTGAGGTCATTGCGGATTTCTGCGATTTCCTTGCATCGAAAAATTCTAAAATGACGATACAAGTGGCGCCTGAACTAAAAGATAGTGGGCGAAAATTCGTCGCCACCACGAATTGGCGACTAGGTCCCCCTCCTCCCAGTTACCCTTTAAAACAGGGAGTACATAAGGCACTTTCTCCCTTATTACCGCGTGCCTTCGTAATGTAACTAGAAAGCACGTCTGACTAGCATAAGTAGAAGGTCCGGTGTTCGAATCCCGGCGAAAGTTTTGCCATTTTTCACGTCTTCTGCATAACCTAAAGACAAACTAGTAGAACAATTTTGAATAATAACTAGAAACAATAGCATTTCATTCTATACATGTTTCACTCACAATTATTTTCATAATTTTATCGCTACATTTAAAGCTCCGTCAAGAAGATGCAGTTATCCAATACCCAACTTAATGTATTTACGTGATCAGTACTTTTGGCATTTACGCTATGAAGAATAATATAACTTCAGTTATTATAGGTTTCTTGTGTGTAATTCAAATGTATTGCAACATGCATCAAAAACCACACATAGGGAAAATCGTAGAGCAGTGGTTCTTAACCTATTTTACTCCACGCACTCTTTTCACCGTTGCCTCACCTTGATTTTCCAAACTCGAAAAATACATTGTAGAGACATTAGTTATTTTAAGCAAGAGATGTGAAAAATGTGCCTCCTCGGGACTCGAACCTGGACTTCTCAAAATATGCGCCGAGTGTGCTACCGTACACATCAGAAAGGCATGCAGAAAGGAGGGAGAAAATACCTTGTAACATATACATTTATTTAGCTTATTTTTTCCGTGTTTGTTATGAATTAAACTGTAGGGTTTATATTTATTTTAACTAACATTTATTTTAAGTTTAAACTATCTTTCCTGTCAAGCCTTACTTTCCCCTGGAACTGCCAATGCCAGAATATGTAAATTTTAGTAGAACGCGCAAGCATTCAAATTATCAGCGGAAGTATTCTGATTTAAATAGGAAGGAAACAAGTTCGGTGAGATATTCTTACTTAGCGAGCGCGGAGGTAGTTAGCGAGAATTGAAGAACCCCGCGTTGCGGCCTATGTGCTTGGCGGGAAGTAGTGGTAATTGTTCCAGTGAGCTTCAAGTCTGCTGAATTAGCAGCAGTATTGTAAAACACGGTGAGTTAGTTATTTTAGAGAGCCTCGTAGTTAGAATCTTGTCTTTACTTTCTTTTCAGGTTATTATTTTTATTTGACTGCCAAGTTGGCACAGTCTGTAAGCGTCAAGAGGACGCAATTGTAATTTATTACGTTGAATAAAAAGGGACTTAAACCCTTCACAAGGCTCTATCTTTTATACAAGTTTTCACAGTCACCTCTTGGTTGCGTGCAAGTTGGAGGCGCGCAACGTTATATTGGCGCCCGAACACTTATCGAACTGAAATGGCCGAAAACTGGATGGAAGCCGCTGGACAACACCAAGAAATGACAACTCAGTTAGAAGGATTTGGATTCCTGGTCCAGACTTTGAGAGCATCAATCAAGCCAAACGTCCATTTCGACGGAAAAAATTCGGTGGCGGTATTTCTCGAAGGTCTAGAAAACCACTTTCAGCTCTACCCTGTGCCTGAGACAAAAAGTGCTGAAGATTGCCACATCAGCCACTAAGAGGACACTAAGAGGACAGGCCGCGCTATGGTGGAAAATATAGGCAAATTTCTTCTAGGTGAATTTGGAAGCCCGACGTATACATTTGAAAATTTCAAAAAATCGTTAGTAAAGGCCTTCCCCATAGTGAAAGATCGCGCACGGCTGGAAGCCGAACTATATAGTTTCTATCAACGGGATACAGCACAATTGACGGACTTTATTTTACGAAAAATCAAGCTAACGGATATGCTGTATGGAAAAAAAACCCGATGCGGAGATTATTGAAATAATATTACCAAGATTGTTGCCCGCTGTCCAAGACTACTTTGAAATTAGAAACCCAAGCACATTGCAGGAACTTTTCGAATTGGCGGTGAAGTTTCAAAATCGCAGAATAGCGGAAAAAGCGAGAGGGGAAACATATTCTCAAAGTACCCGAAGGAAGGAGGAAACCAGAAATGGAAATCGCTCGTCGTATGGGGGAAAGAATTATCAAGCTAACGCATCGAAACTCGAAGGTCAAGGCCCAAAAAGAAAATTTGAAAATAAACATCCGCGTACCCAGAAGACACAGATTGAAAGGAAAGCTTTAAAAACGACTAGAGGGGCCTGTGAAAGGGAGGGTCCAGACCCCGGAAGTTTTAAAAAAACCCTCAAATAGACATTTAAAAAACACGGTCATCGTAAAAAACTCACAGCTACCAATTATACAAGTCCTGGTTGGCGATGTACCAGTAGAAGTCCTCATAGATACAGGAGCAGAAGGAAATTTTATGAGTGAAAAGTTCTTCAAAAAGAATTTTTATAGGATACGACTATTTAAAACCAGAAATACTGGAAATTATATAGCGGCGGAAGGAAAAACACATGTCACTGCATCGGGAAATTATCATTAAACTTACAGGTAAAAGAGAGGAAAATCTCAAAGTATTAATTTTTGTGGTGAAAGACCTACAAACACTCTGTTATTTTAGGTATGGACTTTTTAAGGGCCGCGAGGGCCAAATTAAATTTTCAAGATAGTTCCGTGGTGTTGGAGATGGACCAGAGGGTGGTGGAACCTGTGGAGACACCTGAATTGGACCTTAGCCATCTGAATGACGAGGAAAGTAAAGCAATACAGCAAGTGGTGAGTAATTTTCTCAAACATTGTTTTCAGAAAAACGGCTTGGAAAACTGCCAAATCGTGACTCATAAGATTCAATTAAATGCCGAAAAAACCTTGTAGGACCAAACCGTATCGTTATGATAAACAAAAAGACCTAATCATCGAAGAACATATTCAGGAGATGTTAAAGAAAGAATAAAATAATAACGCCCATAAATAGTGAGTACGCGAGTCCAGTCGTACTATGTAGGAAAAAGAACGAGTTTCCTCCTTCTCGGATAAAAGGGCTTGGAGGTTTGCTATTGATTACAGAAAACTAAATAGCATTACTAAATTTCCAGTTTACCCTTTGCCGGTTATAGACGAGATCATTAGACAGATCAAATCGACAAGATATATGTCTACTTTGGACTTAACGTCTGGCTACTATCAAATAGCTATGAGACCCGAAGATATACACAAAACCGCGTTTATAACAAAATCGGGCACTTATGCATTTTTACGCATGCCCTTTGGGTTGTGTGGGGCCCCATCAACATTCCAGAGAGCTATGGACATTGTTCTAAAGCCTGTCCTAGGAAAATCAACTTTAATTTATCTAGATGATATAATTATAACGAGTAGTACGTTGGAACAACACATTAGTGATCTCGAACAAGTTTTTAAATTATTAAAAGAGGCCGGTCTTACAATTAACGCCTCAAAATGCAAGTTCGCAACTAAAGAACTTAAATATCTCGGTTATAAAATTTCGCAAAAGGGTATAGAAACGCAAGATTCAAAAATAAAAGCTATTAAGAATTTCCCACCGCCCAACACCGCCAAGAAACTTTCGTCTTTCCTTGGATTTTGTTCTTACTATCGATCTTTCATAAAAGATTTCGCTAATATTGTTGAACCACTCTTAGTAATCAAAAGAAAAAAGAGTAAATTTACGTGGACAGCTGAAGCTAACACAGCTTTTGAAAGATTAAAAGAAGCGCTTATTAATGCCCCTGTTTTAAAATTCCCTGAGGGGGACGAAAACCTGGAAATTGCGGCAGATGCATCAGACTATGCGGTTGGTGGCGG